GAGGCTACAAGATCTCTGTTTGAATTTAAGTCATTTGCAAACAACTAGAAATATGAAGCCTATATTGAATGAACCCACACAGGGAAAGGATAAAATAGTAAAATAATTCAGTAAATGTTTTGTTTGTTTGACAGGTAAACATTTTGTCTGTTCTTGGAGTGGTTCGTCTGTACTGAAAAAAAGGACAATCTGGCAGCCCCAGAGGTGCCCTCTGAGGGTGCACTGAGCCCCTTGTATCTTGTCCTTTGGGTCAAGATCCCAAAGTTTAGGACTATAGATGGGGGTGGGACCATAGAAAGATGTAAACCCAGCATACTGTCTTTGGACTTGTCTTCTTGTGGGTGGATTATAATGCTCTTGAAATGCAGGACGTGGTAATCCTCTACTGTCCAAACACACAGACTTCTCCTGTGATGTGTGTTAATGTTGTTTTGTCAGATAGAAGCTCCAGTGTGGTGACAAGTGTGGTGACATAAGTGGTGGGCAGGGATCGCGTTACCCTGGCCCCATGGCATGTCCTGTGTGGGCAGTGGGCGGTGGGCGGTGGGACAGGTGCTCCTCTGTGGTGTCAGGTAAAAGCTCTGAGCCGCTCTGTCCCCTGCGGGATCTGTCAGTCACAGGAGAAGGAGAGACGAGAGGCGTGAGGAGCAGGAGCGAGAGGAGAGAGATGCCTAGGGAAAGAAGGCAGCAGCAGAGCAGGCCGCCTCCCGTCAAACCACACTCTGAAAACACTGGTTCAATGTTACTGCTGTTTTGCTGTTTTAAGAATTCTGAAATATTCCCCCAAAAACCTGTTTTAGATTGTTTTATGGTGATAATCTTTAATACATGCTAAAATGTATGAATATAACTAATATACAGCAAAACTAAATACTGTAGGTAAACAGTGTGATACTATGGTAACCAGCATTTGCTCTGTCACAATCTGGGATCGAGATCATTTCCTGAACATAATTACATAGAAAGAAACTACATATAGAAATTTAATATTTTACAGAAAAAGTGCACATGAGCGGAGTAATTACACTTCCAAAAAGAAAAGCTGTCTAAATGACTACTGTAGTTCTAGTGTTAAACCAATCTAGTTTAGTAGTGTCAAAGAAAAAAAGTTATCCCTTGTTTAGTTTCCTTTCATTGAGGTTCATTGTTGGAAGCACAACAATAAGCCAGAAAGAGAGAAATGCTAATGCACCAGCAGCATTTATTGTAGATCCCATATAAAGTTATGTTACGTGGGCACAGGGTTAATACTGAGTTCAACTGAGCAGTCTTCTTCTGTCTTAGCTGCTGATAGTGTGCGCTAACAGATACAGTGCTGGCCCCTGGGGCGGGCGTTCCTGGATCTGCATCAGTAGGCGTGCTTCTGTTCTTCACCGCCAATGGACGGGCAACTTTCCCACGCTGAATCATTTCTGTCCAACTCTGGTCCCTGTTCTACGAAGTAGCAATACAATATCCTTGGAAGACGATGTATTTCTGCTCAGCTGTTAACTCTACGAGAATATTGTTCCCTTCATGGGGATGTCTAAATGTATCAAAATAGAGAATCAAACTTGTGTTACTGTAAGCATGTGTCTCAATCATTCTGAACAAAACATTTGTCAGGGTAACTCAGAGTAATAACAGGCCATGTGGGTGAAGTGTTACCCTAAATATACAAGTTCAGCTCTTTTCAGTCGTCTCACTGTGGCACCTGGTGTTGCCAGTGGTCTCCCATCACACTACTGACCAGGCTCTGCTCTGATTGACTTCCCTTGTGATGGGAAAAAAAATATTTATTGGTTGATCTATGACCAACATAAGGGGAATAGTCTTGGAATGTTGTACCTCCTTTTAAAGCTTAAGTCATCAAGAAAACAACCATCTCATTAATTCTTCTCTAAACAATGTACCCAAATCCTGATACTCTTACTCCTGCACACACAGTTTAGCACTGGGGAAGATAAATGAGGCCAAAGTGTCTGTGTGATATTCTTGTATCTGTTGCGCAGATAAACAAATGAGCAGGAAGTGTCTGATTTGTGATTATTTGTGTTATTTGTCAACCCTATTTTGCGTACATTACAGCAATGAGCTTGTCCCTGTTTAAAGAGACCAGTCAAAACTGACGATTAAACTGAAAACCTTTTAAAGCCTTATTATTGGTGCAATTTCACAAAGTCTGGAGTAGTTTGTCCCCTGTGGGCTCCCGTCACTCAGACCTGCTCAGATTCCTGCAGAGGAGGACATGCGAGCTCGTGCACTTCACCTGATGATGAAACTCAAGGCTCAAAAACACATTTCAAAGACTTGGCAGCAAGTGTCTTTTCTGTTTGCAGCTGCATCGCCTGCAACTGTTTGGATTCTATGTAACTGGTTTACATAAAAGAGCTGGCACCAGACCAGTGATCTTTCACTGTCCTTATTAAAGAGAGAAACTATCACTGTGGAATTGAGTTTCTCTTGTTTGGCAAGAAAGAGATCTTTGAATGTTTGTGACCACAACAAAGTCACGAAGGGGTTGGGATGTTACGATTACCATTGTATACAATTTCCTATTTGTGCGAATAATACGCAAACATTTTGCCAAAAGAATAGATCTGGTGGCACAGTGACTGAGTGGTTAGCACTCTTGCTTCTCAGCAAGTAGGTCCAAGGTTTGAATCCCAGTGGGAACAGGACCTTTCTGAGAGGAGTTTGCATGTTCTCCTCCGTGTCTGCATAGGTTTCCTCCAGGTGCTCCCCCTACCACTAAAAACGTACCCCAATCGTCCAGCTCCAGTCCTGACCAAGCCAAGCATCAATATTTGGAGATGGGCCCCTGCCCCATCTATTTCTGTATTTTATTTTGATTATTGACATTGGTTGTCAGATGATAGACTCACTTATTATACAGAACCACCTCACTTGTAGCCTGGTCCTACCACATCATTGTACAAATTTCATCTTGGTCTGGATTTGCTCCATTGAGCTCCGTTAACAGGTGGGAGGGGTTAACTCCTTTTGTAGATTGAAATGATTGGATCTGAGTTTATACCGTGATGAGTGTAATATGCTCGAGTGAGCAGCTAGCATTTAGCTTTACCACTAACTGAGCCCATGGGGAGTAAAGCCACAACATCTTTGTTAGCAATGAAATCTGCTAAACATTCCCCTTGCTCCGGCTTCAATTTATTGACAGCATTGTAGTAGGTCTCGTGGTGGGCTCGAACCCACAACCTTCAGGCTCAAAGGCCAATGCTCTACCAACTGGTCCACTGTCGCCCTAGTTTCCATAATGTATTCTTCAGCAAAATAGGAGAAAAGAGGCCAGATGGGGTTGATTATATGGCAACAGTGGAAGAAGAGAGAGTCCTTTTAATAAAAACTCCCATTAGTTTCTCATCAAAAACTGCATAAAGCTCCAACAGCGATGCCTGAGCCAGAGGAGGTCATTTTGAACTATAGAGGCATCATACTCTGTAAAGTGAGACCGATGTGTTTTTGAGCCTTGAGTTTCATCCGCAGGTGAAGTGTACAAACTCGCACGTCCTCCGCTACAGAAGTCTGAGCAGGTCTGAGTGACGGGAGCCCACAGGGGACAAACTACCCCGACAAGAGAGTTGGAAGCTGCCGGTTATGGAGAGGAGAAGCTGCAGCAAGTTTTCGGAGGCGCGGGACGAGAACCCCCAAAAATTAGCAACAGAAGGAAAAGGATAGAAATGGGGACAATGATGAGGAACCTGCCGATCCTTCATCTTCTCGGACTGAAGAGACTGAGCCAAGAGTTCGGTTCAACTGTGCGAGAGGCAGAGATAGTAACTGGTCACAGAGCGGAAGAAGCAGAATGTAACACTACTTATATTGTATATTTTGTGTGCTCTCTGTGACCTCTTAATATGTGCGCTGCAACATTGAAATTTCCCCACTGTGGGATGAATAATGGTTCTCTTACTTATATTCTTGATGAGTTCTATCGTAACCCTTTACCACTTGGATCCCCAGAATTCTGAAACTACTAGAACTCCCAGAGCCGTTAATTTGACTGCTCCAATTCAAAGCAAAGGAATTATGAGGAATTCCCCCAAAGAATGTTTTTCAACGGGTTTAATAAAAGAAATGTTTAAAACAAAATTGACCTTTACTCGCTTTTAATAAGTGATAAAACTGGTCATTGTAATTGAAATACAGCAAAAAAGGCTTCTGACAATGAAATGTGTTGCTATGGTAACTAGCTCTTGAAATTATCTGGTGGATAATTCCAAGACTGTTTTTGTAGAGGAGCGACTTTGTAACTGGTTTGGAGATTTTTAAACCGATACTGATTTTCTCTGCGGCTTACAGATTTTTCCCCTTTTCAAATCATGTTTAAAATGTCATATATTAATGGAAGAAAAGCTGTATTATTTAGCCACAAACTCACAGAGAATGTCTCAAAATAAAAACAATTATATTGAAAGTTAATATTTATGATTTTGTTTTTTGTTTTTATCTGGAAAACAACTCAAGTATAGATTAAATAACTAATGTTTTAAACCCAGTGCATGGATTCAGGTTCAGAGCTTTTCAACGAGGCATGACATGTGATTTACTTGAAGGAGCTGAAGTTGGCTGAATGATGGTTGCTTATCATTTTAATAATGTGTGCAACACAACCTGGTTTCTATTGCCACATGAATCATAGGTTTATCAACTTGATTTTGAAATAAAAAAATCTTTGCCCAGTCATAACTTATTTGTGTGCCTACAACTACACTATATGTACCTCTGAAGCTAAGCAGGGCAGGGCCTGGTTAGTACTGTGAAGGGAACACCAGGTGCCACAGTGGGGCGCCTGTGGCTGTAAAGTGTCAAACTGTTGTTCACCTACAATAGAATGAAAACATTAAAAAATATTTCCTTTCACCTCCAATCTAAGACCTTTTGCTTCATCTATGTTTCAGAATGTGAACCTTGATTAGCTAAAGTCTGGGCACCCCTGCCTTCCTCTCTTGCCGTGTGAGCAGCCTGCATGTCTCCCTGTCATGACGCTGCTCCTTACATTAGTCATGTCTGAAACAAAGGATTGTGGGAAGCTCCGAGCCACCGTGCACCGAGCCCTCTGATTGGCCGTGGTGTGGGGTGAAGCGCAGGTCAGGACGCGGCGGGTGATGGATGGATGAGGGCCTGAGTCTGCAGGCTGCAGGCAGGTTCCCCGTGGGCCTCACATCTCCTGGGGGCTCGGGTTTGGAGGAGTCTGGATCTGGTTCAGTTGCGGAAGCATGGAACGAACGAAAAAACCACACATGTGTGAATTCCAAAGATGATCATCGAGTTTAGTTCCCTGAGGTTTTTCACTTTTCTCCCACTGGGTTTTTTCAACTTCCTTGCCGATGCAGGAGTGTCCAAGGACAGTGGCGATGATCCAGGACACTTGACATTCAACATTTATGGACATTGGTCATCTGCCCCTTATGGACCAATGTCTCTGATCTGTGTTGCCGAATCAACATCTTAGTAAAGCGCTCAGATACAGTTAAAAATAAATAAAATACATTTCATTGAATTTCATTGAGTTCAAAGCCTGCATCATTTTAGTCTTAAAATTCTCCACAACAAATTAGTTAATTTTCAATAATTTTGGAGCCTTTGACCTTTTTTTTATCCGTTAATTATCAGCATAGATGAGTCTTTTCACAAATAAAAAGCAGCACAACACTGATGCCCAGGACTTTGTCTGCAGACCCGGCATTCAATCTCAGGACCACCAAAAACATGCATCATGGTAAAATCCTCCAGCTCTGGTTTTCCTGATCAAGAGCCTCACATGACCCTGGGGTCCCCTGGGGCTGCACTGCAAGACCACTGCTCCTGACAGAGGCCCTAGAGGCAGGGGACATGTTTCCCAGCAGGGATCAATGAAGTACAGTTACAATATTGTTCAACAAAAGTTTATTTATTTCTGTGAAACAACTTAAAACGTGAAACCAATTTACAATATACACTATGTAGACATGACATACAGTATGCCTTTGTTTGTTTTCATGCTGATGATTACGGCTTACAGTCCATACCCAAAACATTCTAATTTCCCGATGTTTTATTTATAGTTTTAACATCTGTGAGCAAATTATAAACAGTATCAAGGGGTTCAGAAACAAATCAAGGCTTGATGTATCTCACTTTGCGTGTAACGAGTCTTCCATTAGTTTCACATTAAACTGTAAGTTTTGTCTTTTTACTGCAAGGAAGACATGAACGTGTCAAAATACAAGCGTCAAAAAAGAATACATTCATACGTTTTACAAAAAAGAGGAACTTTAGAGGAAGAGCAGCACATGCAAAAGCCCAAACTAAATTCCCACATTGGTTTGTTGGGATGTTCACACTGGGCCTGTTGGGTGGTTTTGACAGCCAGAAAGAAAAGGCTCTGCTAGTGGTGACGCCCAGTAATCAGCAGCTCACAATAATTATAATAAATTACAGACCTATTTCTTTATACGCCGCCACACTAGAATGTGACCTGGCTCAGACTTGGATTTGATGTTGGATCCACGACTGGGGTTTTTAGTGTGTTCCTCTTCTTCCTTGTCTCGGTTATCTGGTACTGCTCGCTGATTGTTTGACGCTGTAACTTGTTGCAGAGGTTGTTCATCTCTGGCAGCTACAACACTTGCTTCTGACTGCATAGACTTTTAACTGCTAGAGAATTAGCACATAAACCTGAGAAGGCTCATTATTACCTCACTCTCAAAACAGTTCGATCACTAGTTCTCACTATAGTCACATGACACATATTGTCCACTCTCAGCCCACAGAGTCAAACAATGACTCTCAGGGCTCTTTCTCACTTCTCAAGTAAAAACATAACTTATTTTCTTATATGACACAGACCTATTACTTGTTCATCCAAACCCTTCTATTGGAACTGTCACAGAAACCACAAAGTCTTTGCGAGCGATCACTCATGGGGCAGGTACTTGTGGAGACGCAGAGGCCGCCACCCTCCCGCCTTGGCCCTCGCCACGCTCCCGCCTCGGCCCCCGCCACATCAGACATCATTGAGCCCGGCGAGTGTCACCTCTGCTCGCCGTCGCCGCCTCCTCTTCTCTTCCTCCATCATCCTGTCAATCGCGCTGCGCTTTTATCGGCACCCCGGCCCCTGCGCCTGTCGATGAGAGAATTCATTTTGTCTGCCAATCACAGGCAGGGAGTGGCCAATGATCCAGACGTGCCAATAGCAGAGGTATGAGCGACGGACGCCAGTGTGCGGAAAGACTTTCTATCTTCTGCACATTCACAGGTCCATCAGACTATACTCACTGCTACTTCCATCACAGTCTCAGATGTGGTGCTGCTCCGCTTTATTTATCAACAGCAGGACGCCTAGAACTCTGAAACCACTATTATGTCGGCTTTTCTATTTTGAAGTGTAATGTTTTTTGGTCTTCATAACTTTGTGACTCTTTCTGTGTCTTTATGTATTTTATAGCTATGCCATTATGTTACATAGCTAGACTGGCCCTGGACTGGTTCAGAGCATTCTCAGCCTGGAGCACGTGCTAGTTACCATAGCAACATAATCTTTACTTGCAATAAAGAATCAGTTAGCATTTAATTTATTTGTATCTCAGAAATTATGGGGGGGATTTTGAATATGTATTTTTGTATTTTGATTTGCCGTCATCAAAAAGACTGCTGTGGGAGTTCTAGTAGTTTCAGAATTCTGGGAGTCCAAGTGTTATTGGAATTCTGAAAAGATCCCCAAAAACACTACTTAAAAAAATACAGCCAAACTTAATACTAACTGCTGTACTGGTAAATAGCACTTGCTCCAAGCTGCGATTGGCTCTGAACCAGTCCAGGACCAGTCTCGGGTCGAGATAATTTCATAATTATATAGAAATAAATGACATAAAGATTTAGAAAAGTTACAAAGTTATGACGACCAAAAACTAAACAAAGTAATTACAGTTCCAAAGAAAGACTTTTATATGAAATACTGTTGTGTTTGAAAGTTTACACACACTATAGGAGTCTCTCATTATCATCTGAAAATAACAAAGATGCTTATTCAACTAATAAATTCCATCACACAGCTACTAACTATTTGTGAAAAAGAAATATCATCATTTATTATCTCCAAAATATCTTCTCAGTCTAAAGTGTCAAACAGTGATTTACAGTGTCACAGTAAACAAATGATTGTACAAATTCCTTGAGGGTATTTAAATATATCGGCACAACTGCACCTCCTCGTGACTGCAGTATTTGCCTAAATCCGTGTCCTGTTTACATGGAGCACATATGAGAGAATATGGAAATGTGGAGGCGGGTTCTCCAGACTGACGAGGGGAACTAATGCCACATCAGGAGCAGAGAGGCCAATGATAGATAGATATAGATAGATAGATAGATACAGTATATAGATACTTTATTGATCCCTGTAGGAGAAACTCAGGTGTCCAGCAGCAGAAACACACCCATTCATATTAACAAAACATAATTCGAAAGAGTGACTAACAATGGAAAAGTGCAACAGTACCTGTGGTGTGGTGTAGCCGCTGGTGATGAGCTAAATCAGTGAAAAACCATTAACACTGTAAATTAGTAACATTTACAGCTGGAAAAAAAACAAGAAAAAAAACTATTGTAAAACACGAAACAACTGATCCAGAGCTACTCAAGACTCGCTGCCGTTTTGAGATCATTCAACAGTAAAATAAAAGCGCTGGTCATGGATGTAAACCTGGACACAACTTTAAGACTGACTGAACCACAGCTCGATCAACTCATCATGATGTCATCTGCTAAACTAATATATGGAAATCAAAGGTGGGCTATGGTGACACAGACTGACTCATTCTGGAGGGCTCATAATTAGATTTAAGAGTTAATAGGAGGGGAACATTAAAGAGATAGTCGTAAACAAACACATACCAACTTCAGATATTAAATAAATTAAGTTAAAATTTGAATATTGGGATTATTTGTCCCACAGTGGGGAAAATTCAGTAACAACTATTTATATGTGTAACTCAAGGCTGTCCTTCACCCTAACACTGTCTTTTGACCCAGAAAACCAGGACGGTTCTGACCCAACAGCCAACAAATAACTATGTGTTATGTTTGAATCATAGATATGTTTGAATAGAATAATGTTAATTTAGAACATGTGTATACAAGCCTGATTTATACAGCACATACATTTTGTAAAAGGATATTCTGTCATATTTCATTGAGCCGCTCGAACTGAAGCTGAATATCTGGAGACTCCAAAAAGTCCAAGTGTGCAGCGGCTTCATTAAGAACGGCCTTTTATCATCCTGCTCCAGTTACAGACACACGTGAACATCTGCTATTGAATATGTAAAAATATATGTATAGGCTCCCAAGAGATGTATGCATTTTAGTTATACTTTATCACATGCAGTTTTTTAGCATTAGCTGAGAACAGAAATAGAAATGTGCAGGTTTTGAACAATGTGGTGCGGACTTGGGTTGTGTAATAGTGATCTGTGCAATGTTGCTGGAACTTTGGAGGCATTGATTTGACTTGGAATGAGGTGGTTACTTTCGACGAGGGACATTTAGAGCCATTATTTGTGTTGGATTTGTGAGTTAAAAACAGACTGAGCGTTCTTAAGTTTGTGAGCGTTGCTGCTGGTGTCACATTTGAATAATCTTTGCCTGAGAATGAGGCACATGCAAAACTACACGACAGGGTGTGACGTTTTAAGGTTTAAATACACTTCATTTATCCTAGTAGGTAAAGTGTGCTCTGCATGTGACCCATTCTGTCGCTATAGGTCTCTCTCTCTTATATATAAAAATGCCTTTTTGTTCTTATATATATATGTATATATATGTATATATATATATATATATATATATATATATATATATATATATATATATATATATATATATATAGGCATATAATGTATGTTGATTCCAATGGGACAGATCCACTGCCCCAGAGGAATGTTGTTGTGTCTTTGGGCAGGTCACTAGTACATGAACCGTCGGAACAGTCCAGTGTCCCACCTTTTGTGTTTCTGCTCTGTAGATATGCTCTCGTTTTAGATATGACTCGTTTTATGAACTAACTGCATCATGGTGTAAAAGCGGTTACTGCAGGTCATCGTCATGGTTTCACTCACAGAGTTGGACAAAGGTATTCTACTGAAAAGTAATCGTATGTCACCTTACCAGTTTTTATTTTTTTTGACATTTCTTTTGGAAACTATTCATTTTTTTCTGTAGTTGTTTCCATATGTTTCTGTGGCACACATTTGCAATAGCCTGTTACTGTCCGCATTATTGTCAGGGATAAATGCCTATAGATATTTGCATTAAAAACTCTCTGACAATGTTTAAAACTAGGTTAAAAACAGTTCTGTTTAGCTGTGAATACAAACTGAGGGATATATATTTGTATCTTTCTTTTTAATGTACTGTGATTATTTATGATTTTAATGCTATTTTGTTTTGTTCAGCACTTTGAGTTTATTTATTTTTTTTCAGCACTTTGAGTTGCCTTGTTTATGAATTGTGCTAGGTGTCCAAAACAAAACAAAACGGCCTAGTTACACTTGTCTTCATGAATAGTCTTTTCTGTTTCAATATGAACACGTGTGTTTGGAGAAAAAAAAACGTATATCTCTAATATTTAGTTCTGCGCTGCCTGTGATTGACGTGTCGTGTTTGGTCAGATAAACACGAGAACTCTGTGTAAGCTGGGGGCCCCGGTGCACGCTGACAGGGGCCACAGGGCCAGCGTGGGGCTCATCTCTGTCAATAGCTTCACCTTAATGTTTTGAATCGATACACTTTGCTTTTCTCTGTCCGTTCTCTATAAGCTCAGGCTCGATAAGGTTGTCATCACACGCCACACCACAGTGCGGACTCACCACGCGCCGCGCACCCTCGGGACGGGAGCGCGCGCACACGCATATGAAGCAGATCTGTGGACCCTCGTGCAATACGTGCAATTTACGCCTCAAGGTGTTGCGTTAAAGTCTGCTGTGTACTATACACTTTTACAACACATTTCACATATTGCATGTGCAGGAGAAGCTGGGCGACAGTGTGTGTGAGTGTGTGTGTGGGGGGGGATTTCGTACCTTTAGTACAACTATTATTTGTAAGTAGAATCACAGCAAAAATAATCACTAACACTTACACTTATAGTCAGACCTATTCCAAAAGAAAGAAAAAATTATTCTTCTGCCTGACAATCCAAGCAGACTCAGATCAAGAGAATGTTTTCCAAATTTGTGTTTGTGTTTTTAAAGAACTTCAATCCTTTCAGTCTTTGCTAATTGTGAACACGAACATGGAGGTTTTGATTTTCTCATCCTACCTTGCTGTGCTAGCTGTGCTAGTGACAAACGTTTGTCCATGTTCAATAACCCTCTGACTTCTGTCACATGCTTTCTACACTGTTTGTTTACACTGGTCTGTGCAGGTGTGCGATATATGAGAAGACCACTTGACCTTAGTCCAATTGAACACACATCTGTGGAGGAGATAAACACACTTTAATAGCACGTGATCGACCCGTAGACGTCTCTTTGGACAAACTTTTGGCTGAAAGTTAAATAGTTCACAGTTAAAAAGCATTTGTAACAGAACAACAGTCGTACGCTCAAGATGTGTGTCTCTTTGATTATGACATGACGACATACGCGGCAACTGGTCTTGGCACATCTGAGGTATTCGCGGCACTGATTGTGTGCGGCTGGAATCATCTTTGGGACAAAAGATAAATCAAAGTAGAAATATCTGGCAAGAGTTTGTAAGCTGCTTCTACAACACACTGATTCTGGTGTGAGCAAAGGTCCCCTGCTGAGCTCTTCTTGGTCCAGTTACATTCTCCAGTAGAATGGAGATTTTGCAACAGATGCTCACAAACAGACATGTATTTTAATAACATCCATTGAAGCATTTGATCATAAAAACAATTCAACAAGTCAAACACTGTAGAATGGTGACACCAAAATCATGACCTATAAGCACAAGGACACAGAGGACTTCTGTTGGAGTAGGATAGAGCAGCTACAGCTCTGCAGGCCACAGGCAGAGGTCAGTGTGAGGGGGCCTCAGAGAGGACTCTGAGCGTCAGTGTGAGGGGGCCTCAGAGAGGACTCTGAGCGTCAGTGAGAGAGGACTCTGAGGGTCAGTGAGAGAAGGCCTCAGCAGAGGAGCCCGTAGAGGAGCCAGGTGAGGGTGTGGAGGGGGCAGATAGAGACTTGTCTGATCTACAGTCCTCTCTTGTGTCCTGGCCGCTCTCCTGCTGCGGCTCAGAGGAGCAGGGGCTCTTGCTCGGGAGAAGACCTTCTTTCTCGCGCTTCTTCTGCTTCATCCTGCGGTTTTGGAACCAGATTTTGACCTGCGTCTCGTTGAGCTGCAGCGCAGCAGCGATCTCCACGCGGCGCGCTCTTGTCAGGTACTTGTTGAAGTGGAACTCCTTCTCCAGCTCCGTCAGCTGTTTGGTGGTGAAGTTCGTGCGCACAGTGTTGGGCTGGCCTCCATAACCGTACTCCCCTGAGCGACCTGAGGAGAACACTGTTAGGACACTTACACATGTAGTACACAGGACACATTAGCAGTTTTTTGTAGTCGTGTCTGTTTCTCTGATCTAGATATAATCCGGGGGCTCTGGAATAAATTCTGGCTAACATCCTGATCAGCCACCTGCAGATGCCCTGATTAGAAATGTGACAATGTGTAAAATCTCAATTACTTTTCTGTATTTACCTGTACTATCTATTGTGTGCATTAGGTCCTAACTATTCATTATGATAAATGAAACGTACAGGGCCTTGTCACTGCCTGTTGCTGGATCACACAAAAAAGTCATAAGAGTCGACGCCTGATCTCTGAACGAAATCCAGAGGACGTTGAGAACATTGGCCCAGGAGCCAAGTCAAAGGTCAACATGAGGTGGAGGAAATGTAATAAGGATCTTTGATCAAGAAGATGAGGCACTAACCCAAACCCAGAGGAACACACTCACGAGTGCGTAGGTTTGTGTGACACTTATTGTCTTGTTGTGCTGAGACAACTATGATGAATGTGTCACAATGTTTACAGAACAAATCAAATCCACTTTTCTCATGGAGCCCATAATGACAACAGTCTTCACAAGATTGTTTCAAAGTCAAATAGAACTTTGGTGAATAAATAACTATCTGATTAGTACTAATATGAATGTATTTATATGTCAATGTATTATTTATTTACATTCTTTACAATTCAATGTCTTCACCAGCATTTTATATTTATACCTGAGCAGTAAGTCCTTTCCACTTGCTACCACTAGCTGAGCCTGAAATCCTACTTTTTGAATAATCAATCAAGTAAAAAAAATCTCTTTTGGCAAAACAAATCAATTATAGGTTGTCTGTAAAGTATTGTTTATGATTAGTACAATTATTTGCGTCCAAAAAATGTATTGGCATTGTTGTGTATGCTACTGAAATAATGTATTATTGAAATACATTTATATTACAAGTTACTGAAAAATTAAAAACAACTTTTAAATGTGAGCGAGTTACACTAACAGGAGTTACTTTTGGACCAGAACATTGGTCCAGTGATGATGTTTGACCGCTGATTATACTGACTTACTAATATATAAGGAATATATTACTTTAATAAAATACAAAGGTACCTAGTTACTGCCAACAATAACGGGAACTTATTTGGATCATGTAAGTTTTGTGTCTAGTCAGTGCACTTGTATTAATGTAAAGTAGTCATTTTTGGAAATGTTATGAAGATTTGTTTATGAACCAGGACTCCCAACATTCAACATTTATGGACATTTATCAACACTTATGGACATCTTCCCCTTATGGACCAATACCATTTTGTTTTCTGTTCTATTTCTTGTGTTTGATTCCCTGAGCTGTGTTGGTGAATTCAAGTCCTCTTCGATTACTACTGTTGTGATTGAGGGCCATTCAAGAATACAGTTAATTTAATTTAGAGGCTTAAAAAGTTCCTGCATAACACAAGAAATCTTTGATGTTGTGTGTGTGTTTGTGTTGTAGGTGTGTGTGTTTGGGTGTTGCCTATGTCTGGAGCTCTGACCTGTCTTTGGAGGGTTCCTCTTGACCTTCATCCAGTCAAAGGTCTGCGTCTCGGAGAGCGAGGAGCAGCAGGAGTCCAGGTGCAGCGGGGACAGTGTGTGGTGGTGGCTGCTGTTACTGCTGCAGCCCTGACTCTGCTCGTGAGCGCCCCCGTAGGCCACGTGCGCGTATTGCAGCTGGTAACCGTGACGATGACTCTGAGCCGATACGGACGAGCCGATATTCCCCGCATACACTGTTAAAAATAGGGCATTTACTTGTATGTTCTGGAATTTGTATGGCATTCGTATAAAGTGTTAGCTGTAATAGAAGGATGGAAATTGTTCTAAATCTAACATTGAGTGGTTTAACATACATGGTTCCTCATCGTTACAGACCTGCTCCAAATGTCAGGGTGAATGTTTAGTTCCATTCACTGTGACATTTTTAACCCCGTCCGTCTAAATGCTCTGTTTTCAAACTTGCTACACGGATGAACACTTAGACGTCATGGACAGAGTTGTTCCTTACTAATGCAGAAGGCTCTAAGGACAGTGGTGCTGATCCAGGAACCTCCATATTTATGGACATTGATCAACATTTATAGACCAATGGCAAACTGTTTGATTCTCTGAACTATGTTGGCAAATTGACAACTTTGTAAAGTCAGCAGAGATCACTTTTGTTGTTAATTAGGGCCGTACAAAAATGTATTTAATTAAAGTGAGCTGTTTTTTTAATGTCTTCAGTCACCTGTACTCTGCTCTTGTGTGCTTCCAGTTATGAAATGTATTATTAAAGAAACTCAAAAATATATAATTTTACATAAACAAATACTTTCCGTCTTATTTCCGTCGTATTATATATTTCACTGTGGGCCTTAACGCACATGCAATATATATTCTCCAATATCAATATTTTCCAGCCGCTGTGAAGCACAGCACTTTGTGAATTTCACTTTACAGAATATTCACTGGACACTTAAGAATCTATCTTGTTTCGTCCTTTTTTTGTTTTTCAATTCAAATCAATTTATTTGTGTATAGCCCTAAAGTAATAAAGCAATAAAAGTAATAGCCCTAAAGTAAAAATAATAACAATTGTAAACCGCTTTGTGACTCTGGTCTGTGAAAAGCGGTATATAAATAAGCATTACTTACTACTTACTTACTAAAGTACAACAATAGCTATCTCTGATGACTTCACAAACACTGTTAGTTATACAATTATAGATCAGAAAATAAAACCATTCAAATACAGGAAATACAATGAAAACAAACACATAGAGCCATTGGTCCATTGAGGCAGAGACCAATGTCCATAAATGATAGGGTCCAGAAATGTCAGTATACACACCGAAAGCATCCACATCCGGATTGTAATTGTAAAAGCTCTGCGGGGCGTAGCTGGAGGCACAGGTGCCATAGCCCACGTTCTGCTGCTGGTAGGAGGCTTGCTGGGGCAGGACACAGTCTGGCGGCGGTGGTGGTGGCGGTGGCGAAGACGCGCGATTGGATACAAAGCGTTGGTCCGATCCATTGACGCTCATGACGGCGCAGGACTGGTGGAACCCCGTGATGCCGCCGCCGTGCTCCGCGTGGAAGGCCGTCTCCGCGCTCATCATCATGGCCGAATAGTCCAGGAATCCACTCATGGTCGCATTTCGCCCAAATTCAAAAGGTGTTGAATGACTTTAAATGACTTTAATTCGAGGTCTGGATATTGCGGTCTCCAAAATCGAAATTGTCGGTTTGCCAATAAGTTACGTTCATGCGACATCACAACATTGTAGACTTCCCATGTCTTGAAATGTGTCTCAACATCTTAAATTTCCCATATTTTAAAGTGTGTCTTAACATTGCCAAATTTCATTTCTTAACTGACAAAACGATAAATTTTCAATCTGACATATCTGTAATTGCGAGTCTAGTTCTATTGTTGTTCATCTGTCAGAATGAACATACAAAAGTAACAATTTCTGTCCAAAAATACTTCAGTGAGAGAGGCCATTATCTAAACTTAAAGGCACAAATATTGTTGTTCCAAAGGACTTTTAGCCGTGAGATTAACATGACAAAATTGTGGAGCCAATTGACAGCTTTTGTTCAATGTCGAGCAAAAGCTGTACATTTTCCATAGAGTTGCATCTGCTCACCCACTGGAATGACTGCAAATCTAGAATGGGAATTGCTTCCTATAGAAAATGTCTATATCCATCTGTCATTGGTTAAAAAAAATCCAGATTACCGATGTTCAGTGGAATTCAGTTCAAGATAATCCAAGAAATGCAAGCGAGAAAGCTATCGATGTGTCTGTACAATCAAAAGTCCAGTATAGCTCTTTTTATTTTACAAATGTAGAATATTTTAGTAGTTTGAAGACGTTTCTGACCATTTCATGTTTTCTTACTTCAAGCGAAATATCTTTGATCAACATGATAAGAAAAGAACTTACCTCAAATCATCTAAGTCTTACACTATGTTGTTCTTGTAAATAGTCAGAAATGCCTTCGAACCAGTTAAATTCTCGCAAATAAATGACTCCAAGTTTAAATCTGGACTAAAACACCCTCAACTCAAGTCATTTCAAGCCTAACAAACAATATTCCATTTTCGCAGTGCGGATGCAACAGCAACGCAATACTGGCATGAGCGACCATCCAAGCTTTTTATGGTACTTCGGACGGGGCAGGGGGGAGGTGGGGTGAAGGGGTGTCACAACGGGTGCCCCTCAGCCAATGGGAGCGCGAACCGATCGACAATTGGATATTTAAATTCGGGGCCAGCCGTCGATCAATTGGTGAGGAGTGGTTAATGTATGTATGTATGTATGGGTCCAGAACAAAGAGGACAAGACTCCGGACAGGAGAGCAGCAGACGAGCCACCGCGGAGCACTCCTCCAGACACAGGTGCTTTTTAGATCATTGTTAGATTTTACGCGGCATAAAAATTTGTAACGTTGCTTTTATTACGGACCTTTGTTCTTGTTTTGAGTATAATTTGAGAACATCATTTAACAGTTTTTTCTCGTTCCATTTTTCATATTTTATCCATGAAATATATGTTTGAGCCATTGGACAATCGGAGTATATTCTCATGGGTATTATGCAAGCATTTACTAACCAATGTTTTATTATTTTTGGCAGTGTCTATTGCAGCATTTGGCTTGCGATCGAGATGTCTCCCAGGTTTGATTTCTGCTTGATTTAAGAAAAGGTAAGTTATGTTTGTTCTTTACATTGCCAAAAAAAAATCTGATTTGTGCGAGTTGAAAATCCGCCATAAGATTAAGTTATGTATACTTTAAATATGAAGGAATGTCAGTTAAACTCTACATCATTTAGTTTAGTTTAAGAGAAAGCGACAACAATGAATTATACATACAAGGAAAATCTGGTTCCATTGGGAGATCATTTGCAAAGTAAATGTTCCTAAAAATCAATTTGAACTCATCCACTGCAAAGAGCGATGGCTATTTTTTTATGTGGAGTTAAAGTTTTGGTTGAGAAATTAAAAAAAAGAATATCTCAATTAAAAATATTGTTGGATAAAGAAGAAATTATTTTTACTTAGAATTTAAAAAAATGCGCTATAGTAGTATATCTAGTGATTTCAAAGGGGTCTGCAGGAGAGGAGGAGACCCAGGACACGCCAGAGGGACTGACTCTGTGAATGTCCTGTGAACGCCTCAGGATTCCCCAAACAAGCTGGAGGAGGAAGTGTGAAGAGAGGGAAGTGTGCTGTCCCCAGGAGACTGATACAGAGGACGAACATGGATGAAGTAAAATGACATTATTATAACGTACTAACATATTATAAATATATTCACTGCCAGAAGTGATGAAAAATAAGTACAAAATTGCTCAAATTTGGAAAATGCATCTTGATTGGGGCAAGATTTGCCAATGGGACAAGCAGAATTATTTTGTTTTAAAAAGATACAGCAATACAAAGTCAATAGTTCTTGAAATAAGAAAAGATAGCTTTGTCTCTTTGGCAAATCTTGTTTTAAGACTCAAATTAAGCAATTATTGCCTTTGGAACAACATTCTGCTCGACATTTACTGTCATCTCATATGAATAGATTGTTTTGCATCTGTATTCATACTTGATTAATCTTGTATTCCAGTATCTGTTTTTATATTGATGACGGATACAAAGTCTAACGCAGCATCTGTTTAATGTTTACATGCTCCGAATCACATCTGCTGTCGCCCTAAGGATTTCATGAATTTGTTGATTACACAACATCAGATTAGAAAATCCAACTATTAAAACAGACATTGGTCAAAACTGGACCAACAGATTGACTGATGTTTCACAGGAACGAAGCAAATGAATAAATGTCCTGGAGCATCCCCGTCTTTAGATAAATACTAGTGGTAAAAAGACAGGCCTGGCAGAGTGGTTGGTGGGTTTGCGTGTTCTCCCCGTGTCCATCCAGGTTTCTTCCGGGTGCTCTGGTTTCTCCTTCCACTAAAAACATGTCTAAAAATTCTCCAGCCCTGAAGCCAAACATCACCATCTGGAGCCTTGTTGCGACGTCTGCTCCTGATGGGGCTTTTGGAAAATAAGTTTTAGAAGTTTTAAAGAAGACATATGATGCTTCTGCATTCTATTTAGTAAGAATCTATGACACATGTGGCTCATTATTAGATATTTAATTATTATTATTATTTTTTTTTTAATTCTCAATATTGATCCAAAACAATCGAGTCTCTGCACTTCAGTATCCTGCCATATCATTCTGCCCTCACGTCACGGTAAACTTGGTCACATTAGAGTCCCTGCAGGCTCCGCTCAGACCACTCTCTCCCTTTATGTAAACGTTGGGAATATCTCCAGTCAAATTATGAAATTATTAAAACAACTCAATCTCAAGATCAGAAATGAACACATTAGCACATGTGCAGTGAAGGTAAATCCTCTAAGAATACACACATATTATTAGTAGCTGCAGTGGTTTGAGAATGTGGCATGAGCAGGAAGTGCCTTTGGGGATCAGGGCTGTCGGCGCTGATGGATGGGCTCCGTGTGACATCCGGCACATCGGATAAGTTAAGGTTTTAGTTATAAACATTGTCCGATGTTGTTGTTGTTTTTAGATGATCAAAACAATAAACTTATACTTCCATTATATTTTCCAATCTTGATGATAATTTTCCAAACTTTGTTGTTCTAATTAGCAGCGTAACCCTCACCCTACACAACGCAGAGTGTAGCAACATTTCAACTCCCATCTGCATCTACTTTCTGAAATTTCAAAATGAACACTTGACAAATGAATAGTAGGAATATGATCTTGTTTATTTTATCAATAATGGCAGAATGTGCAATATAGAACCACATGTGTCCACTGTCACTTTACTCATTCACTTTGTCCCTTACCCTCATGCTGCTAACAAGTATAGATGTATTTAGGCCCCAGCCCCAACAGGGCATAGGGCCTATTGCAGGGTAATGCCTGGGCGAACGCTCGTTTTAACGAGTCATACAAATGTCTACAAACACTGAAAAATGGGCACCGAGTTTTACTCCTGCTCAGGGCTGGACTCAGACCAAAAAACGGCTCGGGCATTTCTGCCTCCTTGCTGGCCCCGGCCGTTTCTTTGTTCATGTTTTTTTTACGGTTATTTTTACAGTATGCGGAAGCACATAGTATAAAGAATCAGGATATATGCAGTTTCAACAATTATAATAAAGTGCAATTATCTAAATTGAGAGTAATAAACATGTCACTACAGAGTGACGGAGACGGACATAGGACCACAACTATTGTTCGTTACGGGGATGAGACTGGGACATTTCAAAGAAGTCTGAAATGTATAATGTTTGCCAATGGCTGTCATTAAAGCTGTTTGATTTGTTCACAAAATGTTTCTTTTGGGCACAACCAACATGAACTGTTAATGCAAAATGTACGTACCCCAGCTTTTATTTAGCGAGTTTAGTTGCGCTCTGGGAGGAGACACAAGGAAGACGCGGACTGTTTCTTGCAGCGCTGTATTTATTGCGTGAACTGGTTACTCAAAGACATGCACACAACAAGCACAGTATGGTCCTGTGGGTGTATATGGTCTATGGTACATGGCGCTGTCCAAAGCGGCCGCAGCTGCTCCAAAAGGCTGCAGCCACGGCCCACGGAGGATGTGGAATCCCGTTCGAGTTAATACAGCAATCAATAGCAAGTGCCCTGCGGTCATGCCCGCCCCTCGAACATTTCTTTAACAGATTTACACATTTCTCAAAGATATCTTTTTGTATGAGGCTCACAGGCCAGTCCAAATATGGGCATCGGCCCGTCGGGCATTGCCCAGTACGCCCGCTGGCCAGTCCACCCCTGCTCCTGCTGTAATACACAGTGAAATGAATGGGGTCCTATGAAGGCGGTGGGTGACCTCATAATGTAGAGAATATAAACAGTTGTGTTTGTCCGCTCGTTCACTTTAAAACGGTGTATCATTTGTGTATATGAACTATGAACCATTATTTTGAATTTTGAACCTTAATTTGACCAAGTGACCAAGTTTTGCCCAAAATTCAGGTCCGGCAAAAATAACTTTATTTTGGTCATGTTTTTCAATGGATACACACACTCCCTGATCATATGCATTTAAATATTATGCAGGGTTTCTCCCATCAGGGCTGTAGGAA